TTACTGCATTTGTTTATTTATGTGGTCATAAAAATTACATGAAATTTTCGACATGATTGTGGTGCATCCACTTTGATGTGATATCAAAATTATTTTTTTGCTGTGTATGCGTTTTAGTGTTTGTCCCGCTAGAAGAAGCGGTATCCGTGTCTTCGAAGCTTCTATTTTCAATAAATGATTTCTGTAAAAATTCCATTTTAGGAGCAGTAGATCAAAATTTTAAAAATTTCCGTTAGTATTACGTTAGTTAGATTTCCACCCGCTGCTATAGCAGCATAGGTAGCTCCATTAACTCGCTGAACATATAGGTATATATGAAAAATTTGAAGCAGGGTGATATTTGTACCTACGGGTACGAATGTAGATTTTTTTTCCTCGCTGACCGTTGTTAACAGCAGAGGAATTTGTACCTGTTCGGGAACGTGGAGCGTTTAATACCTGTCGCTTAGAAAGAGATTGTGTAGGATCGCTTTGCGAGTCTTACATTCCCGAAAATTGGATTTGTGGTTGTCCCACAATTTGAACATTTAAATTTCTTAGGATCTTCCTTCACAGGACAGTCGTCCTTTGCGTGAAAGGAATCACCACAATTCATGCATTTAGCTGGCATGTAGCAATTTTTTGTTCCGTGACCCCATTCATGGCACTGGGTATGGTTTTGTAAATTTCCTCCAGTCTTCCTGAAGTGTTCCCACTTCACTCGGACATGGAGCATAAGGCTAGCTTTTTCCAAGGCCTTAAGGTTGTTTAGTTCACTAGACTCGAAGTGAACTAAATAAAAATCATTAGAAATCCCGTTGCGCGAATTGCCAGGACGGGATTTCATTTTCATTTCGATTACTTGGAGTGGCAATACTACAAGTAATTTTGCCAGTTCATCTTTGATCTTATCCAGGGATCCACCACTGGGCAGTCCTTTCATGACAACCTTGAACACACGTTCAGTTTTGATGTCGTAAGTAAAACATTTATGCTGCTTCTCAGTAAGATACTTGAGAAGACATTTGAAACCGTCCAAGGTTTCAGCCAATACACGGCATTCACCCCGACGGCCAATTTGTAGTTTCACGAAGTTCAAAAGTTCCGTGCGAAGAGCATGGACATCGGAAGTGGTTATCACAATAGGGGGATTCTTTTCCTTCTTGGCATTAAGCCGGGAAAGTTTACTATATTTTTTCCTGGATGATGGATTATTCTCATTAGCAAATCAAATTGATTGCTCAAATTAATTTCATCAGAAGGGGGATCAAGAGGTTGCCCATTTCTTTTGCGCTTAGGTGCCATGGCGGCAGTAAACATTTTATCCTAATCGACTTCCAAGCAGATTACTATAAGAATCTGAAGGATCGAAGACGAATTTTCCAAATCAATATCCAAGAAGGATTACCTCGGGTAGGGTCCAAACAAGGATCTAAGAGGAATAATAGTCAAACATTTACAAACATTTACAGGTATATTGAGCACTGAAAAGTGTTGTTTAAATTTGTTGTAGATTTAGGTAGCAATAACACTTCCTTCAGCAAAAAACAAATAGATCCGCACACAAGAGAGCACGATGCGAACTGATGTCAGTTATTATTGTCAGAATTGGGTTCTTTAAGGGTATTTAGGTAAATACATATTCGTAATCTTAGTAGATAAAAATAGTAGATAAAAATATATGTTCATAAATTACATAAAATACCTCTGACAGTTCTTATTCTCCTTATCTATTCGCAAAAAAGCATAATATAGATATAAAAAGGTGGTGATGATAACACTTCACTAAAGTGAAAAAATGTTTTCTTGTTAAACATCTCAAGTCTTGTTTTTTTTATGTTTGATCATATTTTTTTAAAAATCTGTTTAAATCCTAAAAATCTGTAATCTGTGAATACAGAATCTTGGTTTTAAAACTCTGAACAATCTGTAAAAATACTGATTTATCTGTAGTTTTGGTAACACTGCAAAGCATGTGAAGAGTGAAGAACAGCGAAGAACGCTCGAGTCGATCATGCCACTCCGATGTTCACGATGCGAACGAGAAAAGCCGAAGCATAAAGACTTGCATTTTACATCGACACTCATATTTCTCTCACACAGCCCATTCACCACGATTTGTTTTAACGCTTGTATTCGCTTCATTCGGGAGTTTTGTTGAGAATTCGATGCTTCGAAATGAAGCGAATAGCAGTAACCCTGATTTCCGGTGTCCAACTAGTCGAATACACGTGCATCGTTCAGGAAAATTTGATGCATTAATATGCTAACTCACTTTTCACTACTCACTCGCTTACTTCTCACCTATTCATTTATCACGCCAACTCGACCAGATTGGCAGCATCCTCTAAGATTCTAAGACATCGACTATTTAAGCAAATCTGCATATAATCTTAGAAAAAACTATACTTCGTTTTGAAAAGGGCCAAAGTTGTTTTTTTTTAAACTTTTTTTGTAAAAAAAAATATGATAAGACCTTCAAAAAGTATGTGATTTTACGAAATATAGGAAATTATCTGATTTTGCATACAAAAATATAAGCATGTAAAAAAAAAACGTTTTAAAAATAAAGTATTTTTTCCCAAAAACGTCAAGTCTTTTTTGACCTCCGGAATTTGCGTGATTTTTCCAGGAGTGACCCAAGGATTATTCTCACACTATCTGAAAACAAGATGTTACGGATATTTCAATGTGATAATGTGATATTGAAAACATAATTAACGTTGCCAATTTCTGTTAAGATATGATAAAAGATAACTAAAAATGCTAACCCATAAATAGATCACTGGGCGTTAATTGGTTAAATCCGGAACTACTTTTCCTGACTTCTTTGCAAATGAGACGTTTAACTTCCCCTTTTCCTTAGACATTTCCTGTTTTTTTCCCTCCCATTTCTGCAGAATCACATTCTTAGCTAGCCAAATCGTGTCAGTCAGTCAAAATGTCATAGTTGTTATGAGGCCTTTTGGTTGCTGCAGTCGCCGTTCTAACGGGTGTTCAATAAAAAATGAGTATGATTTCAGTGCCGTCCAGCGCTCTTGTGAGAGCATCGCGACTTAGTTGCGTCGTACGGCTGACCAGTACCCCTTCTCCAATATTTATTGACGTTTTTTTGAAGAATAAACATTGTGTTTTTAATGAAAAATACTGAGTTCGTTGAAAAAAAAAATATTTTTTTACTAGCTATATGACTGAAAAAATTCTCATTTTATATTGAACACCCGTTATCTGCTTTTTGTTACCATTAAGTCCTATGCGATATATTCATAAATACTGGGTTGGAAGGGAGCATCAGTGTATCATTTGACCTGGAACTGGACGATAGAGTGGTATGACAACCGGAATCTAGGAGTGAATAAACACTATCATTTTCTTTATCCTATCGATTCGATTGCGGTGATGTTTCAGTGAGATTGACGCGCCCTCCTTAACAAACCATCCTGCAGGAAGCTTAATAAGTATTGCGAATTGCGTTATTCGATTTGTTGGATCGTATCGTTGGAAGGAGATTCTTAAATTCCCGTGGATTTCGCGTAAGTGTCTCTGCTCTGATCCGGCCTTCCGTTTTTGGCCCTTCATACAGCGATATTGCTAATTTAAATCGGTAGCTCAAATTGATCTTGCTATTAAGTGGAGCTGCATACAAGACAAGATTTTCGAATGAATGGTGACATTCTTACATAGGGTCGGGTGGGGCAAGAATGACACCCTAACAATTTTACATTATATATATGCCAAATAGTGGATATTTATAGCACTTTCTACACCGTATTGCAACTTCATATTATTGCCTTCATACATCAGCAATGTAATGCAAATTATATCTCGTCAAAAGTTGTTTATGTCATCTCAAATCTTTTTTTTTAAACTGCAATGGGGCAAGAGTGCCAATGCTAGCAACAGCTGTTAGTGTTTACTTAATTTAACTACTGAGTTTTACAATATTATTCAATACATAACAAATGAACTAGACAACCGCGAGTACTCGGTCCAGTTCATTTAACTTTAAATTTAAGACAGTAATAATGTATAACGCAAAGGATAACTCGGCTCTGTAAAGTTTATTCGATTGAGCTTGTACAAATAAATGAATTATATATAAAAAAATAACAAATGAACTATGTTTACCAATGAAATCAAATGAAAACTATTGTTGTTAATATTTTATGTAGCTGGTTTGGTCAAATTTGGTGAAAACAAGCTTACCGAAGACTTAAATAGGCAATTAAGCCATTTCTTTTACATGTTTGTATAATTTTATTTATAAATATAGTTGTGGCACCCTTGCCCCGTGTGAGGTTCATTTTTAATAAAATTATGTTTGACCTATTATAGGGAATATTTATATATTCTTTGTTATTGGTTTTTCAATTATTCATTATTAGTGATGCCTCAATGCAGGAATTGTAGAAAACAATATTTGGAAATTCCAAAATCCTTATTTTATGATGTCTAATTATTATAACTAATTTCGATTTTTGACACATACACATCAGCACAAAATGATTTTTTGCATTTTTTGAAATACTTCATTTTGGACAGAACTTTCTATAATGCTGCATAGGAACACCATTCATAGTTTCATGGGTGAATTAGAATTGAAAACATGTTTATTTTCAAAATTATAGAGGGTGGCACTCTTGCCCCATCCGACCCTACATACATTAGATACACATTAAGTCCTATATGACTTGATAACAATTTCTTGAATATATATTTTTAAAGATAATCGTATATTTTTAACTAGATAGTTTGCCAGTAATGTTTTAGGGGCCTGCAAAGCTATGCATGTACTTTTTGCGTCGGTTAATACTATTGCAGTCTCATATTTGCTTGATATCCGATCCATATGCGACTGTTATGCGAAGGGTGGCAAAGACCACATTGTGGTTATTATCTTCCAGACGCTTTCGTTATCAAGACTTTTTTCACTGCTAATAACAAATGTGATTGCCGTTCTTGATAATAAATAATGCACAAACTGTTTAGATAACACACTTTTACATATGTTTTTATTTCAGGAACACGAAAAGGTCTGCTTGAATCGAAAAGTGGTCCAAGAAGATAGCGAGGATGATGACGTCATTTTTTGTGGAAGTGAAGTGCTACCTACACCCAAGCGATCTGATGAACATATTCCCGTTTATACCGCACAAAATATGTCATCATTTCTCATGAATTTCAATTTGTTCAATAAAAACAACCCACTGGCCTTGCGGAAAATTGGCAGTATTAGTACTAGCGACCAAAACATCAACATATTGAAAGGATCTCCTGAAAAGCTTCGACGTCTCCCACGACGCACGAGAGGAATTGTAACGCTTTCGAAATGTACATCAATACCACTATCATCTCCGTGTGGTCAATTCCTGCTCAGAAGTAGTAAAACAGTAATGTCGATTGATTATCAAATGGAACGATTGGAAAGGCTTGAACGATTTTGTTTTGCACCTGCTCTTATCAAAGATGGAACACTAATTACCAATCGCCCAAAATGGTTGAATACATGTAGACTAAATACTAACGTATCGGTATCCTATAAGCGGGGATCCGACGAACTGGAGCACTATCATAGCTACAAGTTTCCTCGACGGCAATTGTCCTCTGCATGTAAAATGCGTAATTTTCAATTTTATAACAAATTACTGATCAACAGATGCAAACCTTGTGCTATAAAATTACAAAGACTGACTGCTCAAGACATTGAAAACCGAAATATCGACATCAGGTTGCAACATCTCAATATAACTAGAGCCTGTGCATCGATACAAGTTTTGCCAGATGAACCGAATAAAACTATGCATGTTGTGGTAGATTGTATAGACCTGTGTTCTTCGGATGACGATGAACCTGGAGTGAGCATCAATCATAATGGCTGTATCATTGCAGTAGACACAACAGAAGTTGAAAGACTGGTTGGAGAAACCCAAAAACCATTACCTTCAGAAATAATTACCAATACGGCATCATTAAAAAATGCTACCGACATAAATTCTTCACACATAGCCAGCAATAAAACTGCCGGACACTGTACATTTCAGCCGCTAACACCATCTCTGCATCTCTTCTCTAGTGCGCATAATGTTAATCCTGCTACGTCACCGTCGCATGCCCATCCAAGTAGTACGAATAGTTTACTACAGTGCTCGCTTTGTATATCAGATGAAACTAATGATAACGATATTATTCTCTCAAATATGGAAAATCTAACAGAGGTAAAAGAAAATCGAGTGAACGATTGGCTCAATGACGCAGCTATATCAACGGAAACTTTGACACATATGCCGCAATCCCATTTAGTTATAACAACAGCAACACCGGTGATAAAGAATAGTGGTGGGATTGCAGTCCCCAAAACATTGCCATCCTTGATGATGCTAGCAAGACCTCCGAGTCCGACAAGTAAGGATATACTAATCAGACAGCGAACGGCTACGACGGTTGATTTAAGTTAAAAGATTTGTTGCTCTGTTCATACGGCTACGTTGTTAATTGTTAAAAAATGTAAAAGATTGCGTGGTACAAAATCAAGACTTTTTCCGCAGACTACATGTCAAAGACTGATCAATCTCACATCAAAGCGTTCAATAAGTGGCATGACTCCATCTTTGCGGCTAATTTTTTTCGAAAGCATACTGCCATATGTAATTCGGCAGCCTAATCTAGCAGATTATTTTTTTGATAAGTGGTCATCGTTTGCACACGTATTTTATTCTACATTTCCAGTCATTTTTTTTTTGTTTCCAAAAGCTTAAATTAATTTCTTGTAGTAACGTATTCAGTATGTTATAGATAAACATAATTTCCATTTCACCCTGTATAAATTTGATTGTAATATTTTTGATATCATAGAATAGGATCTGTAATTAAACGATACATAAACAACAACATAATTATCTTTCTTGTTTTCTACGAAATTCCTACTCATGTTTTTTCATGTTCCATATAGCATATAGGATATAGGTGATACTCTAGCCGGCGCCGGTGGTGTAGTGGTAAGCGTGACTGCTTTCTAACACCCCAATGGGTCTGGGTTCAATCCCAGCCGAGGTCGGTGGGATTTTTCTGAGGCATAAAAATCTCTGATCACGTCTTCCTTCGGAAGGGAAGTAAAGCCGTTGGTCCCGGCCCATGTGTGTTTGAATGGGTGTGATATCCTACGCAGGTGTGGAAGCTGCCTTCCTGCACATTCGATTGCCGTCAACGGATGGCAATCGATGTCCGTCGGTTTTTTTCCTTTGGTTTGTTTTTTCCGTCGATCTTGTTTTCCGTGCTGAGCATCAATGCTACCGACGTGCCAGGAAGGCAGCTCCCACACCTGGACCCTACCTATCGACCCATCAACTCATGAACCGGGGACCAACGGCTTTACTTCCCATCCGAAGGAAGGCGTGATCAGAGATGTTATGCCTCAGAACATCCCGGCGGCGCCGACTGGGATTGAACCCAGGCCTGCTGGGGTGAGAGGTAATCACGCTTACCACTACACCATCGGCGCCGTTCGATGTCCGTCGGTGATTGGCACTAGATTACGGAACAGAGACCGACGTTAAATAAAGGAATGGAGATAGGCGATACTCTTCTAAGGCTGTGTGAATTGTGAAAAATGCAAAATATCACCTTTTACAAAACATATAATAATGTAATTGCTACTCCCTGTTTGTAGTGTAGTAGCGCAATTTCATAATTGTATGTTTTGTGGAAGCTGACATTTGTGCTTTTAAAATTTCACGCTAAGGCTAGTCTAATTCTTGTAAACCTTGTAAACCATGATAAAACCAAAAATGTTACTTGGTATTTCCCCTGCCAGGGGCGCCGAAATTCATGTTTTTTTGTGTCAAACTTTTCCTCGTTTTTTTTACGTAGACTACGTCTTACGGGAAGGTACTGGGGGTAAATCGAAAATTTAAAAATGCGACCGTCACAAAAAGGTGTAATTTTTTGAACGCTATAAGCTTTGTCATTTATAGATGAAATTAAAATCAGAATACATCAATCGATAGGAAATACCTTTCGTAAGCTGTTGCAATAAACTTTTTTTCAATTTTTCATAAAAAAAAAACTGTTCTAAATGGACAAATAAAAAGTGATAATTTTACCACTGTTTTCATGAAATAAACGTTCTCCCCAAACCCAGTCCTCATAATCAAGTACAATTTGGTTGCACATCGTGCTGCTTGAATCAGAAAAAGTTATAAAACAGCGCTGCTAATGTGTCTCAACTCATTTTCGCTTCGGACGGCGGGTAAACAGGTAGCAGCAGCAGTAGCAGTAGCAGCAGTAGGAAGGCGGTTCCTGTCAAGCGCGCAGAGTTCGAATTTTGCACCTCGAATTTTGGGCGTCGTTCCCGTCGAGATCATTGGCTGCTGGTAGCGGCATCGTCTCGATGGCGCAAGCGCTCCTTGCCTGAATGATAACTACAAATCTCGATTATTTTTCGGAAGGACATATCAGCTTTTGTAAACAATGCATTTTATCGTCGGTTTGGCATAACTAATAGCTCGCCCCACAAACTAACACTTGCTAACACCGCTAACAGGTTGGGAAAATTTTCCCCTATCTGATGGTAGTACTAGCATGCGTGGGCGGCCAAATTTAACTGATCGCAAATGTCTAAATAGTATGCCAAAGTTTCTTCACTATTATATTTTTTATAAAATTTGTGCGCTTTTTGCTTTCGATTTTTTAAATTTTTCAGTTCCCTGTTGTACCAAACTGGATGTTTTGCATGACTCTGACGTCTTCTTCTTTTAGTTGGCACTTCTTCAAGAATTATTTCAAGCAACACATTGTAGAATACGTCAACTGCACATTCAACATTTCCTGCAGTTCTTAATATTGCTTGCCAATCGACAATGTTCAATCTATTTCTAATGTTATCATAATTTGCTGAATTGTAATCAAAGATTTCATCAAATTCGCAGTCGTTGGTTCTTTCATTTATGTGAACGAATAGAGAATACTCTATTGCTGTGTGAAACATTTCATTTCTCCATATGGGACTTGACGATTCAGTCACACAGAAATCTTCATAAGTATTTGTTAATAAAAGGTCTAAATAACAATTTTGTTGATTTTTCACATGGTTAATTTGATAGAGTCCTAAATTTGCTATTTTGTCAAAAATGAAATGGAGTGTTTCATTTTCCCCAACGACTGGAAGTAAGATGCTTTCATTGTCCATATCAGAAATAAAGTCAACATTGCGTTGGTTAAAGTCCCCATATATATGAACTTTTACTTCAGGGGGTAAACTAGACAAAATTTCTTCCGCTTTTCCAAAAAACTTATCATACGTGTCCTTATGAGCATTGTTTGGAGGAAAGTATACCGAAGCAAAGACATGTGTTTCGTCTGCTACCTGCGCTTTTACCCATACATGTTCGAATTCTTTAAATTTAGTAGCCATAATAATTTCTGAATTCAATTGGGTCGAAATCGCTATTAATACTCCACCTCCCGATTTTTTTCCAGACCATTGAAAATTGCGGTCGTCTCTATAAACGTTATAATTGTTACCAAAAACTTCTTCACTTCTCACACTATCATCCCAACTTGTTTCATTAGCCATTATGACAGAGTAAGTAGAACTTAATATATTTTTGTTAATTTCATTAATTTTACCGGCGCTTCTCATGCGGTTAACATTTTGGCAATATACCAAAATTTCTGTACTGGTCTGAAGATTAGGTGAAGAAGTTGATGGTAACCTGTCATTCATAAAACTATTATCAAAATTATTTACCCCTGATCCATGTTCCGAATTTGTTTCGTTCTGCAAAGTGTCGTGATCTTCGTTATTTTCTTCCTCTATGGAGTGTGTCAGTTTTGTAGAAAAAACGAGTGCCTCTCCTTGATGTAGAGAAGTCGTCAAGTCCTGGATAATGTCGGGGTCTGCCGGATCATTGTCTTCCTCCAAGGGGTGCGTCAATTTCGTACAAAACACGAATTCCTGCATACACACGCCTCGCATGATGCAGTTGCAGCCATCCCGTTATGCAAGTGCGCTGGAACGGTACGTGGGTATACATTGCACGCCGGGTAGGGGTTTAAGATTTCCCCTCGTTGGAATTGCATCGTGGGTCGATAGTTAGCCTGCGGCGATCTGGAAAACCGATATTTCGCTGCCGCAAGAAGCTCTCGATCAGGTGGCAGTAGGTTGTTTCTATTCTGACTAACACTGCTGCGGAAACTGTTACGGTTAGTGTTGTTGTTTCGATGATTGTTAGATATGTTATTGTTGTTGTTGTTGTTGTTGTTGTGGTTGTTGTTATTTTTGCTGTTGTTGTTGTTGTTGTTGTTGTTGTTGTTGTTGTTGTTGTTGTTGTTATTGTTGTTGTTTTTGTTGTTGTTGTTGTTGTTGTTGTTGTTGTTGTTGTTGTTGTTGTTGTGGTTGTTGTTGTTGTGGTTGTTGTTATTGTTGTTTTTGTTGTTGTTGTTGAGCAAGTTTTGTTTCCTTCGCCTTCTAGCCTTTCCAGCTATTTTTTGCTGTATCAAACGGCGTGATTTTCGGTCATCGTACTCGGTCCAGTCTGCCTTCCATACCTTCCTGGTACCAAGTAGACGCCACCCTGAGTCATCGTTGTTGTTATTTAATTCCACCTCCAAGCTGGGGCACGAGTCAGATGACGATTGCAAAGGTGCAGCGCTCCGTGTTGAGGCTATATTTGCTGACAGTGACTTCAGCTCGTCAAGAATATCGAGTTCCAGCACAGAGTTAGAGCTCATGGTACAACTTGCCGCAATGTCGAGCGACAGCTGGTTCAGTTGATTTATTTCATTACTGATATTTCGGAGCTCGGTAGATATATATGACGTCACAGTTCTCAATGACGTATACACACTGTCTTTTGTTGCCATCATAGCTGTATCGAAAAGCGATGTAGTGTGATTTTTGAGGGCAATGACACTGCCAGCTAAGGTGCTGTTTCTGTTAATTGCAGACAGTTCATTTTTTATGCCTACCAGCAGTACCTTCAGGCCTTCGACAGCTACGTGAACAATTCGAGGATTTTCTTGCTGCATCGCGAAACGATGTGTCACTTCTGTGTTGGCATGCAGTTGCTCCGTTAGAAGTTTTTGTTGAGCCGCTAATTGACTGAATTCTAACTTTGCTTGCAGATGCTCTTGACACGAGTCGCAGCATGGTAGAAGATAAGAATTAAAATCCCCTACTTTTTTATTGTCCTTCCTGCGTAGTGAATTCCTCTGCACGGTCACTCCTACGCAGGCTGCATGAAATGTGCGTATGCAGCCAGTGCATTTCCACATCAGCGAATCAACGGAAGAGTCAAATGAACAAATTTCACAATTCATATTGAAATGAACGAAACCAACAGCTATCGCGCGAAATTACTACAGCGAGAACGAAACGTACGCAAAAAAAAAAGCACAGAACGCACGTGGCTAGGAACGATTAAAAAACGCGTCCAAACCGATTGACGATCGATCGATCGATCGTGATCATTTAGCAACACTGAAAATCAGCAGCACACACCACACAAAATGGGTTGGACAAACGGGAACGGGGTGTTTCTGTGGTGATAAAAAGGATTTTCCTACACAGGTTACGGTTTTCTGTACCAAGCACTGAAATTATCAGACGGTACCTCTATTTATGCTTTTAGATTTGCTATGAAAGTCCCTCCTACTTGGAAAATTATGACCCCAGTTTTTTGCATAATTCTTCAAGTAGGAGGGATTTGCAATGCTTATCTCTTAGCATAAATAGAGGTACCGTCGAGTTTTGTTCAGTGCTAGGTTCTGAAATTCGACAGTGAGCGTTCAAAAGGGCCTACTTGTAATGTTCGATTCTCTTCATCGATTTTCTGTTTACAGCTAAGCGAAACAATTCAAGCTGAACATTGCATTA